CTACCACAATATGATTTTGTAGGTAGTGTATTTCTCCATGAGGGTAGAAATAGAACAACATAAATAAAATTCTTAAGCACTTAGAAATTGCTGAATGAATATCTACTGAATGAATTTTAAAATTTTGGTGGTATTGAGTAAAGACTTTAATCCACAGAATTCTAATCAAGACGGAGGACCAAAATATGTATGCAATGCTCAAGAAATTACAGGAAAGTTTACCTAGGCTAGACTGGAGGGTTTATATTTAAAAATGTAATTTAAAATAAGACTAAATGAAGGGAAAGATGCTGATAGGCTTTGAAAATCAGGCAGAGAATTTGAGTTAATACAGTAAGAAATAGTGAGCCAATAAACATTTTATACTACCAATAATGAAATCTGAAATTTATTGAGCATTTACTATGTGTCAAACACTGGTCCAAATGTTTTACATACGTTTTCTCATTTCATTCCCCAATCTGTGAGGTAGGTACTACTCCTTCCCTTTTCCCAAGGAGGAAATTAAGGCTCAGAGGTTACTATTTTGCTGAAAGTCACATATCTGCCAGTCAGATTCCAGGTCTGACGGCAAAGGTCAACCTCTTAAAGATTCTGACCTGTACAAGGCCCACAAAACATGTCTGAGAAGAGATGCCAGAAAACTGAGATTCCAGTACATAAAAAATGCATGTTGATTCTGGGATCTTGGACTGGAAATAGAGGTAGCATTATGGATCCACGGTTTTTAACATATCTATTAAGAGAGGTTGTAAGAAATTGATATAGAAATGGGTATTTGTGTATTTGTACCTATACTCATAGTTTCTAATTCTGTCTGTTAAGAAGGCCCAAAAGCCATTACACCCTAGTAGCTACGAGCATGCCAAGCACCTAGATCTTTGTTTCTAAATACCATTCTCCAATAAAAAAGGATAAAACTCCTTGAAGAAATGCCTGATTCCAGGGTTGGGGCAGGGAAGTGAGAAAATGAATCTGGAACATCTTGTGGTGCCAGAAATCAAGAGGGTGCTCAAATAATGGAAACATATTAAAAGATATAGGAGCCAATTTGGAGGGGCTCTTGTAGGCCAAATCTAGGGAAATTTCAGCAAAAAATACAGTAATAATACCATCATTCATTAAAATTCACAAAATAAAACAATTATTCATTAAGTCCATATCACTATAAATAAAAAGTTAAATAAATAAATACATAATAAATAGTGAAGAAAGAAAAGTTCATTATTACAGCAGAATGCAATCAGTTAATAAATGTACAAAATGTTGAAAATTGAAATAACCATTTGGCAAATGTTACAGTAAAAATTCTGCAGGTTAGAATCATCAATAGATGCTAAAATTAAGTGGGCAAAAGTTGGATAAAACACAGGATATTTACAATGTTTCACAATATTGCCCTTCATAGTCTCACAAGATTGGCCCACTTTACAAATACAAAGGAAAAAAAATCATGACTTTACAGTGAATGAACCTAGTAGACACCAAGTTATTAAGGTTACTTCAAGGTAAAACGTCTCCTATCTTGTACATACAGACATCAATAGTCAAAAGCACAAGAAAACATATACAAACTCTCGCACTGTCACAAGACAGACACATACATACATTATGCACATGACTAAAGATATATATATAGTTGAATGAATAGAACTGGATATAAAAGGTAGGCAAATTGGTAAAAAAACAAAACTGGATTGAACAGTTAGGCAAAATGTGCCACCAAACACACATACCTTGTTTTATCACAATATACATGTTCCCGAAAGTTTAGTGTACTTAAAATTAATGTGGAAATGGAACAATTATAGAATCATAAGGCAAATATTACTTCAAAATTAACCATCTACTACAAATTACAGCTGCTTTATAAATCTAACATTTTATATATTGTGGTTGCATAACATCACACTACTTGCACAGCAATTGTTTTTAGATTGCTTTTAAATAATCTCATTTATACAGATACAGATATAGAGATCAAACTCTGATCATTTTACTGTAAGTGCAAAGCTCTTTCCATTATACTATGCTGCTTCTCCTAACATTAGCAGGAAGAGAAGTAACCCCCATTATTATTTCCATTTCACTTCCTGTGTCAAAAAAAAAAGTAGAGATTCAAATACTCTGGATACCAAATAAATCTTTATAGACTACATACAAAGGAGACAATATAGGACAGTCATTAAGGGCAAAGAATCTGGAGTCAAACTGTCTGGATTCAAATTTTCCAGCTTCACAACTTACTACCTCTATGATTTCTAGCAAGCTACTTAACCTCTGTGATGTGTAGTTTTCTCATCTGTGACGTGGTGATAATAATGGTATATACCTCATAGGTCTGTTGTGAAGATTAAATGGGATAATGTATATCACCATATTAGCACAGTGCCTGGCACATAGTAAACACTCAAATATGTAAGCTATAATGATAATAATGACAAATTCTTCCTATGGAGCAATATACTTCACAGAAAAAGAACTGTTTCATGGCTACAAACCACACTTCTACCCTTGATGAGTTCTTGCTGCTGGTCACAAGGAAGATAGTAAGTACATTTAAATTAGAGAAACCTATTCACTCTACTGCAGAAAACAACTTACATTTGTACAGTAGAAGTAATATAATTTTACATAATATCCACATCTATAATCACAAATCTAAGTGCATATCGTACTGACAGTCAGTCAGTAAAGGTATAATTACCTTTACATAAAAATACATTATTTCCATCACTAGAAATGACCTTTCCAACCTAAAGCTGTCTTTTTCTCTTATTGCTACCCTTTTAGCATAGAGGTTACTTTATTCCACCTAATGAATGCTCTACATAGATACTTGTGATCTCCCAATTTGGCATGACTTCAGAGATAAAGTCACTTATCTATCAAAAAGCAAAACAATTTAAGTAGCAACACTCTTCCTGATATAAAAGCCTCAATACTAGACTACTTCAGTCAACAGTCAGTCTCACTATCACCCATTTTTACTCTGGAAAAGGTCACAAATATCTCCAGTACCAGTATGGAGAGCAGATACCATTCATATTTTGAGATGATTAAAATATTCATCTAACTAGAATATTGATGTTTAAAGCAAAAGAAACAAATCTTTGGTTTTAACAGAGGCACAATATCCTAATGATAGGAAAAGGGGTGTAAACTTTTCTTTAAAAAATTATATAGGAGATAAAAGGAAAAAAATGTAATTATTTCATGAACACAATCATTAGTTTAGGAATCCAAGAAAACAAGCTTGCTTTCAAGTTTTGTCAAAAGTAAAAAGAAATCTCACGTTTAACATAAATTGGTTTAATATAAATTGATGTGTTGTGTTGCTGTGCATACCTGTAAAATTGTTATGTGGTGCACATTTACATACAGCATTGTCAAAAGAAAAAAGAAGAGAAATATTTAATCAAACATCCACAAAATCTTTGTCCCTGGCCCAAATGCCATAAGCAGTAGACACCAAGAAGATGTTTTCAAAATGAACTGTTTTCAACAGCACAACTGTCGTTTTATCTAACGGTCTGCAGAGCCATTGACTGGCTAAACCTTACTCCATTAAGATGCTCTGTGTCAAAAAGCAATTTTAAATCATTCATCTACTTTGATGAAGAAAAATTATAGCAAGCATAACTTAAAATATTTGATATGCATGGATTTTCAACAGATGTGCGGTCATAATTATGTTGTGCTTAGAGTAATACGAAAGTTGGTTTTAATAACTTGAGTACACACTTTCTGAAGGATAGAAAAAAGGGCAATGTGATCTGAGGCAGGCTAAGTGCTGTAGGGAAGCTAAACAACTAACTTAAAAGTGGACCCAGATAAGCTAAAACACGGCGGCTGCTTATAAAGAATTGATAGTCACTCAACCATGTGAGGGCCTAAGCCATGATCTCATATTTAACTGTTTTTAAAACCATCCATTATGATCACTCAAATACAACATTTAAAAATTTGTCACACACTTATCCTTTACAGGTTTTGTGAAGTTAAAGATGATGGGCTTTGGGCTAGAGAATATTTTTTCTGTCAAAACTATTCATTTTTGTTTTACTATCTTAGTAGGATAGTGGGTGGGGACTACCCACATACCCTTCTAGGAGATGTATTGAGTTTTTAATTCAATATTCCTAAAACTGAATGGAATTTTCTGCTGTCATTTCACATGTACATCCTCCCACAATCTCCCTTAAACTATAAAGTTGAATCTCTTTTTGAAAAAGGTAATTAGTTTCCCTTAAATAGGTGATGGGCAAATTCTCAGTTCAGGTGCCTTGGTGAGTTTGTTTGTTTTTGTTTTTTTGTGTTTTTTTTTAAGTAAGCAAACAAAAACCCACCCGTTTTTTAAAAAGACACAAAAGACCTGAAGCCTGAGACCATTCTTCTTTACCTCATTCTTCTAGGTATGTTACCTTAGCACTTGCAAAAAGGATGTCAAAAGGGGAAAGCAGATCAGTGGCTTTACTGACCTGAAGTGGGGGTAGGTCCATGTTGCTTAAAGAGCAAAGGAGAATTTCATAGGGGCGCTTAGCACTTTGATGGAAGCTGGATTTTAGAAAAGCCAAAATATTAAACTATAGACAAAGTTTAAGAGTGCGTGGGTTAAATACAAGCAGTGAAAAGGTTAGCCGGCAGGCAGGGAACTACCCGAGGGCGGAGGGTGGATAGGAAAAGTTTTAAATACCCACTAGAGCCTAGTGAGCCATTAATAAGCTTCCCCACTTCTGGCTTTGCTCTTGCCCCCAGAGCTGCTAACTGCAGGGAAGCAGGCAGCCCTATTTTTAAGCACTTAAACCTCTCCCTTGGACTTCAGAAGGCTTGAGTTACCAGTGTTGTAAATAATGTTTCTTCCTAAACAAGTGAAGGCAAATTTGAATTCCCTAGTCAAGGCCGAGGAGAAGAAAAGGTAAAGGGACAAAAAAATTTTTTTTAAAGTGATTTCAGCGTGAGAGTGCGGTGATGGGCGCGGGGGAGGGGGTAGGACTTACCGCAGCCTCTGCAGGCTGCCCCCAAAGACTCAGGGCCAGTAAGAACAAGCAGGCAGCCAGGCTGACTCCACGCAGTTTCATTCTTCTTCGGCTCCCGCAGCTTCTTCAGCACCCGCACGAAATCCCCGGCTGACTCTGACCAATTGACATAATCTTGAGGGTTTATAGGGAGAGAGCTAGAGCCAGAGAGGGACAGTGAGGGTGTCCCAATTGTGCCGGTCGACTTGGGTGAAGAGAAAGAAGCTTTTTAAGAGTGGAAGAAAAACAAAAAAGAAGCTGTTCTTTCCCTCCCCCCTCCCCTCCCCAAAGCCGGTCTCTCGGGAGTACTTTTCCCTTCTGTCCAGACTTGCAAACTTTTTCCTCACTCAAGTCCTACAGATCTACTTTCCTCCCTCTCTTTCCCCCGCACGGCCCCCCTCCCCACCGGCACAAGGGAATTTCAGTATCACTCCGCCACAGCCTTAGCCTGCACCAGCAACCTGCGAGGGAGTGACGCTCAGTTATTTGGGGGAGGGAAACTTCCAGACCAGTTGACTGAGCACGATGAGTCCAACCGGGAAGCTTTTCTATTCGTTCACTTGAACCTTCCGTTGACACTACTCTTCTCAGCCCAGTCCCATTCTCATTGGTGTGATCACCAAAGCCAATTACAAATAGACCTGAATTTGGACTACTTTTTTAAGCGGATGGATCTCAGAGGGGGCGTGCTTTTTATTGTTAATCATTAGAAAAAAATTTTGGTCGCTGCTTCCCGGGCTGCTGGTCTTCTTTGCCTTTCAACTGCTCAAAGGACAGACACTTTATACATGGAAGTAGAAGATATGAAAATATTGGACATATATACAATTAAAAGTATGCTTATAAATGAAGAAGAAAAAACATGTATATATGTGTGAATACTTTATTACATACATATAAGAGTTGAAAACATTCAGCAAGTATTAGTAATTATAACATGTTGAATGTTATTGTGATACAGCTATATCTTTTTATTTAGCTACATTGAATTTCATAATTAGTATTTACCTTCCATATTGAACTAACATAAAAGGTATTGACTCACTGTAGTTGTGCTTGCAGAAGAATTTAGGGTAGGGGATTTCGAGCAGTGTTTCTTGGAATTAACATAAACGTCTATTAAAAATATTTAAATAACATTGATGGCGTCGAATTGATGTCACCCAAATATAGTATACTTAAACATTACCCTTTAATGATTCTGATACATATATACAATCAAAGGCCCAGAAAACACTTTATGTGGAGTCCTTGGAGGGTCTTTTGGGAATTGGCTGAAGAATTCTTCATATTTCTGTTATCTCCCTGGAATTAACTGCTTTTTAGAGTTTTTCAAAGTTTTGGATCAATTTCACAAGTGCCCACTCAACCGTAGGTTTTACTGAGCTCAGATTTACAACTCCAGAAATTAGCTCCCCTTCTCAAGAGTATAGTGTCCAATTAATTAGAATGAGTGTTGTATGCATTTGGGTCTGTGTGCAAGGGCACTTTAGGGCCCATTTGTCTATGTAGGAGTAGTATGCCTGAGTCTATTCATGCGTAACTTAACAGTGGTTTGTGGAAGTGCATGATGCATAGTTGCTCAGGTCTCAATGTAGGTCTCTAGGGGCCTGTGAATGAAGCCATGGAGATACTTGGGACTGTGTGTGTACAGATGCCTGAAATTGAGAAAAGACTACCGGCTGCCCAAGGTAGGGGGGATGATTGACATCAGACAACCCCGCCCCTTTCCCCTCCATTCCTTCCTCTCCTGTTGCATGGAACTATCTCCTGAGTGCGGCAAGTTGTAACGGGCACCGCTAAGCCTGTTTCCCTTTGGGGCACTTCTTATCTAGAAGCTGAGTATAGTTTCTTCCAAACCGGGCTACTTTGCCCCCCCCTACCCTGTCCTGAGTAAGGAAAGAGCCTCCAAGCATCAGCGGAGCCCCGATGAACCCGGGCCGCAGAGCCGCTTAGCAGTCTCCCGGGACCCAGCTCCGGAGGAACCGCAAGCATGCACCCTGGGTGAGCTATTGCTTCCAGCTTCCCTCCTCTTTCCTGCTTCGAGCGACTTTGCCAGGCCGGGACTATAGTTGTACTTCTGTCACTGTAGAGAACGTGGGAGCCTATCAAAACGGGTTCGGGGGGCTACCGGCAGACATAGGACCCTGGAGCCCAGAGAGCCCGTATTACTCACCCTCCCTCTCGTTTCAGGTTGTGGCTGCTCCTGGTTACGTGGTGCCTCACTGAAGAACTGGCAGGAGCGGTGAGTCTCTTCTCACGACCCTTTTCCCTCCTCCTCCTTTAACCCTCTCCCCATTCTCACTTCTTGTGTTTGTGTTAGGGGGTTGCAGAGGATTGCACCACAAGACGAGTTCACACCACTTCCCTTTCTAATGGGAGTTAAGGGGTTCTTGGACAGGACTCCAGGTTAATGCTTTTGGGGCTTCAAAATGGATTGGGAAAATAAAGGTAGAAGACACAAGATGCACACATTTCTGAGCATCTTCCCCAGACAACGTAAGATGACTGGCATCTAATGCCCTCTTCTGCATCAATGTCAAAGGAAGAAGAAACATAATTTTCCCTGGTCTTCAAGAATGTGAATTGACACACAAATTTGCGAGTGAAAGGACAGCACAAGGAGTGGGACTTGAAAGTGATGTAAATGTTATGGGAATTAAGTAAGTTTAAGTATTTGTTCATGAGTCCTTTGACGGTACCAGGTGACACCATCTGGGTTCTTTAACTGCTGTACCTGAATTGAACTAATATCCCTAGATGGTGTTCAATTTCTGTTTCCTCTTACTGATTATCTGCGTCATTGGAAAGTTAAAAGTTAAAGTGGTTAGGACAAAAAAGAAAATCATAAGCTAACATTTTGTAGGATGTTTAGATATCATCTATCACATCTGCTAGAAACTAAAGGCGAAGAAGTTTCTGTGAACATCTGGTCAAGAAAACTGTAATGGATCCTTGAAAGTGAGAAATCGCCAATGGAATTACTAGGATAATTTCATAAAGATGAAGTGACCCAAATAATCAGAGATGGTACAGCTTTCCAGTAGCACTAGCTACTTATGCTGGCGAAAATAAAGACTATTGAATTGGAATATGAAGTTGTTTGACTATTTCGCTGCTGTATTAAAAATATTAAGCATAGGCGAAGTCATTCATTATATAGACAGATGACTATATTTTCCAAATATTCATCTTGTGGGTTTTGATAATTTTCACTGATTAGCTCCATTTTTAAATATTTTAAAATGCTATTCATGGAGCCATACTTAATTCAACCTAATAAAGTCATCTAATACATTTATTTATTAAAAATTGATTAGTTTATCCTGGCATATGTTGTCTTTAGTGAAAATATCAGAATGAAGTGAAATGATTACTCTTTATGAAGAGAGGATGATGCCACAAAAATTGAATTCCAACATTTTTTGATCCTTGAACTTATAGCATCAGCTCCTATGTAAGTAAATTCTAGACTTTGAAAGCTGAAATATTGATCTGGGATTCTGTGCACTTCTCCATCTGATTCTTTCAGTATACGAGTTTAGTTACACATTACCTTGAGGTTCAATATTACATTTATTGAAAATGCCAGGTTTTGATTAGTTAACAGTTTGTCCAGGAATCTTGCCACTTGTAAAAATGTCATGCTTGGGCAGAATACCCTCCAGCAAAATCTTTATTTTCAGACTCTGGCTGACCTTATTCAGTGTACTTTTGGGAAAAGCTCTACAAGTCATTCCAGATAGCTGAAGACTTCCCAAACACTGCATCCTGTCACTTGATATCCTTAAAAGCAACCAAAGGATGATGCTTTTAATTCTTACAAGTATTGAAGTGAGTCTCCAAAATCAAGCACTGCTTTGGTGTGTGGACTTTAGACTCTGTCTCATTGTTTTACACTGTCACATGCTATGTCAATGTAATTGACCCTGGTAAGACCAAAATAAATCTTGAGATCCACTGGCAAAACTACTTTTTGCTTAGGTCCAGAACCACTTCCTTCACTTGTTGTTTACTTATGCACACTATCTTTGACGTTGCAAAGCTTTTTTTTTTTTTTTAAGTTTTTGGGAAAATGGCAAAAAAAAAAAGAGTCACAGGATAAGTTTTCAGAAGATGACTTTTCTGAGGGGAAGGTTTTTTTTTAGTTTTTTTTTTACACTTTTTGCACTAGATTCTCATCTATTTTGGCTGGCTCTCATCTTCTACTCTCAATTCTAATTTATCCTCTGGGTTTGTTGTGTTTTTCACCTTTTGGAGGCTTTTAAGCACTTACATTTCCTGTACCATGTCTGACTAATATTAATGAAAATAGTTATTAAAGATTGGCAGGAACTATGTTGTGTTTCGCCTTGAGAAAAATCTCTTCACTGAGAGAATTAAGTTGCCAATAATGGAATATTTGTAAACATTTAAAGACAGGGTCATTTAGGTGCATTTGAGCTCTTTTTCAGTTTACAAAGCACTTCTATGTAAAGGAATGGAAAGACTAATGTTAAAATCCATTATTAAAAGTGAGTTTCCATTAAATTTATTTAAATATTTCATTTATTTAAATATTTCATTCATTTATCTGAATAAGATAGAGCCTAAGATTTCAGAACATCCATAATTGTTGTTGGTTATTAAGTGCCTGACTATTTAAGAGGCTGTACTAAGGTAGGCAACACATGCAAAGATTTATTTAAACATAGTTCCTAACACTTTAGGAATTTACTTTCTCACACAATTGTGGTCATTATGTTCCTTAAAATATAGAACGTTTAATAATAAATTATTATCTGCATGCACTTGCCTCATGTTAGGGAAAAAAAAGCCTTGAAAGACACAAATCTCACCATATGTCAACATGTCTAGAAGAAAAAATATATCACAAAGTAGTTAAGGTCCTTGTATTTTCATCCCACTTTGCCCCTATCCAAGTGCACATTCACGAAAGGTTCTAACACAGTTAAGCATACCTAAAGTCAAAAACCTGGTGGAAGACTTATTTGGGTTGGGAGGATAATAAGGAGAGAAAATATGTCTATTGTTCCTTCTGCAAAGAGCATAGGTGATATGACTTTAGCCACATTTAAAGCAAGGTCTGATTGAAATATCAACTTATTTCTTTAAATTCGTAACTTTCCCAGGTTGGTCCTTTCCATGATGATTTTCTGTCTTATAGCAGTCATTAAAGTATGAATATCATGTTAAGGGACTTCAGAGATGGAGAAAATCCCTTCCTACACTAAAAATCAAGAGGAGTATTTGCCTTGTTTGGAGCTGTGTCTCTATAAATTTTATATATGTATAATATATACTATATATCTATAAATTATATATCTATAAATATAATATATACAATTATATAATTGTATATATCTATATATTATATAGAATTTATGGAGATATATATATTTCATTTTAGAGACGAGGTCTCTAAAATATATATTATGCATCTCTATATATGTCTCTATATGTAATTTATAGAGACATATATATTTTTTTAATCTTAGAGGTGAGGTCTCGCTATGTTGCCCCGGCTAGTCTTAAACTCCTGGACTCTAGCAGTCCTTTCGGCCTTCCAAAGTGCTGGGATTACAGGTATGAGCCACCATGACTGGCTCTCTATAAATTCTTAAAGCAGTCTTCTGCTTTACCTGCTAGTAAATATCCTATATCAGCTAGCTATGAAGAATTACATTATATGTGTGTATATATGTGTACATATAACATTTATCTTGGAATGATATATATCATATATCATTCCAAAATGTATATGAGGATACCATTACAGATGTATGAGTATACCATCAAGTAAATAATCAAATGACTGTGTAAATAGATAAACAAGGATGATATATTTACATTATTGATAAGTCAAATACAAATATATTTTACAACAGAAGAGGAGAAGATGATAGATATTATTTAATGTGCTACTAAAGAAACAGGTATATTATACCTCAGAAATTGTTTTATTATATATTGTTATGATCATATGTTAATGTTTTCATTGCAATCCCATGTATTTTTGTATACTTTTAATAATATTATTCTAGCGGTATGCAGTGTCATGTGCCTGTAATCCCAGCTAGTCAGGAGCCTGAGGCAGGAGGATTGCTTGAGACCAGGAATTCAAGGTTGTAGTGGGCTATGATTGTGCCTGTGAATAGCCACTGCACTCCACCCTGGGCAACATAGTGAGACCATGTCTCAAAAAAAAAAAATATTCTATAAAGGAATCCATAAGCTTCACTAGGCACCCAAAGTAATACTTGGTATTAAAAAGAAACTTTAGTTTGTGAAATTGGGTTTTACAGTAAACAAATAGTCACTTTCTAATGTTTGTTGAGGCATGAGGGGAACTGTGTTGGATATAAGTGCCAACAATCTTTTAGTTCTTAGGAATAGTTTGGAATCTCCAGTAAATGTCCCCATATGTTCTACAAGTTCATAGTCAAGCCAGATCACTGGAGCAAAGTATGCTATTGCTTTTTACCTCATTAATATAAGAATGAAACTGATTTACCTCAATTATTAATGCATATTAGGTTTTGCTTACCTGAATTATATGAATAATTTTATAATTTCAGCACTATGCTTGGAGTATAGACTTGTCCTATGCTGCATAGGTGACAAGACATACACACTTAAAAATATGTATTAGGAAAGCACGAGGCTGTATTAAATTATCAAGTCCTTTTAGCTGTGTGAATGTCCCAGTGACAGATCATAGGGTTTTAATTTGTTTTAACATCTAACTAAATGTAAATGGAAAACCTGATAAGCATGCTAAAGAGAAAATGGTGATGGGAAAATTAGCTAAGAGCAATTAGCTACTCCCTTACCTTACCTATCCTTCTCCTAAGGGTTTTTCTTTCTTCTACAAACAATATTGAAGTATCCTTAATTATGAAAAACAAATAAAGAAACAAAAACAAAGCAAACAAAATGTAGCTTTATTTTCCACAATAATTCTAACCCCCTCAATCGCATTACCATCAAGTTACAGGTCATTGTCTGCTCTTCTTCAACAGCATTTACTCTTCAACCTATTACAGTCTAGACTGAGTCTACTCCACCAAAACTGCCCTCTTTAAAGCAACCAATGGCTGCTTAACTACCAAGCCTGTTGGCTTTTTCAGTTCCCAGTCTACCTGACTGTGTTATTTGGCATTTACCAGTCGTTCTGAAACCTCTTTTCCTCCTTTGATTTTCAGGACATTATGCCTCATTGGGGAACCGATCATAATCCTGAAA